CACCATTGCTTGGTACTTAATGTTCCATCCTTTCTCCTCTAGCCAATGTACACTGGCCCTACTCTGTCTTCTTTCAAAAAATGATTTGATGGTTTCTCTATTTTCTTTGAACTACCATATGTGATGGTGTTGCTGTTCTCCCTGCCATTTGTCAAGATTTTTTAAAAATGGTATTCATCACCGGTGCCTTCAAATGTTGCTGTCCATTCTACCCTGGAGTTTGATTGTCAAGGTCACAAGTATGACATTTGAACAATGACCTCAAGGTGAGAGAAAACTTTATAACATCCCTAGGTAGTTTGAGTCTGCAGTGGCCCATTACACCTGACATTTGTTCCTTAAATGGTTAATTCCAGTGTGAAACCAGACAATCTTGTCATAGATATCAAAGTTTTGTTGTTGTTTAGTCGTTAAGTCATGTCTGAATCTTCATGACCCCATGGACCAGAGCACGCCAGGCCCTTGTGTCTTCCACTGCCTCCCGGAGTTGGGTCAAAATCATGATGGTAGCTTCAGTGACACTGTCCAACCATCTCATCCTCTGTCGTCCCCTTCTCCTCTTGCCTTCACACTTTCCCAACATCAAGGTCTTTTCCAGGGAGTCTTCTCTTCTCATGAGATGGCCAAAGTATTGGAGCCTCAGCTTCAGGATTTCAATGAGCACTCGGGGTTGATTTCTTTAAAAATGGATAGGTTTGTTCTCTTTGCAGTCCAGGGACTCTCAAAGTTTACTTGACTATTATGGTATAAGTAATTTCATCGTTGTAATGATTCCAGGCAACATCAGTTTTTCTGTTTCTACAAGCGTTAGTCATCTTCATTACTTCTATGCACAAAAATTCAAAACTTACAGAACATTTGCAATTCATTAAAAAGTTATGGGCCTGTTTCTATTCTACAGAAATTAAACTTACAGCAGTGAGAAAAAGCTGTAGGTAGAAATGCTTTAAAATACTGTATATGGAGACTAAATTTAAGTTGCAGGCAAATACTTAAGTCAAACTTCAATCTCAAAATACAGGAGTATAAAAGGTACATTAAAAATGCCAAAAATATTTTAATTACATTCTAAAAATGCAGGGGCTTATAGCCTCAAAAGGCAAAATCAAAAAGCAGAGAATGCAAGCAAGCAAATTTACTTGATTTTTTAAATGCCTGCTTGAGAATGCATCTCTTAAAATATCAATGATCTTAAAAGTAAAAATATATGAAAGTAAAATTAATTTCTTAGCCTTTTAGCATATTCAGACATACAAGAAATATACTCTTAAGTGCTCACCCAGCCATTTTCCAGTTTGAATCTATAGAGGGAATTCCATACTGTCTTCAGCTGTCCTTAGGTGCTGTTGCTGTTACATGTTGCCTGATGGTTTCTGGGCTGCCAATTCTCCTTTCTATCTTTGTTGTTGGCATCTGGTTTGTGTGGTGTGTGTCTGTATCTCACTTCCCTATATGTATATTTCTCTCATTTGCTTACATTTCCAAACAAATGTCAACAATTGAGTTTGCTGGTATAGCAAACCACTATCCCATATAACCGGGGTCCTCAACCCCCGGTCCGTGGCCTGGTATTGGGCTGTGGCCTTGGCAGGACCAGGCCGCAAATAAAGATCTCCTGGGGCCTCCCACACCCATGCACACATACATATACAACCCCCACATACACACATGCATGCACAGATGCACACATGCTCCCCACTTGCATACACGGGTGCCACAGCCCCCAACGCATAGGTTCTCCACCCACTCATACACACATGCACGGGTACCCTGCCCCCACTCACGGACACCGCCTCCCCACCTGCATGCTAAACTGGTCCATGGTTTGGAAAAGATTGGGGACCACTGCCATATAACACACCTCATAAAATATCTATGAGAATTTACATTGGCTTGCCAACTTAACAAACTGCTGCCCCAGAAAATTACAATGACAACAAACCACCATGGCAACAAGACATTGCTGATATTTTTACTTATTCCCTTGAACACCTGCAACACCAATGAAATACCTGGAGAGCACATGGCTGGTGACCAAATATGGTCAGGTGCCAATTTGCTATACCTTTTGGAACTCTAGGAGTTTCTTGGTCTAGAACTTTTTTCTTTGTTTCCTTTTCTAATGTTATGCTTTTATTTTCTTTACCATTATTCACATTTCCACACTCAAGTGGTAGCTCGCTAGGAAAGAAATTCCTTTGGGAGGTGTTACCATTAACCTTGCATTCCCTGTGATGGTTTTGATGGACATTGAACTGATCGTTTTGCAGTGACATTTGGCACACTGCTGTTCAAACCTCAGTTCTTTAAGCATAATGTACATTTTTAGAGTGGCATTTTTAATACTTCCATTAATTATTTTAGTGGTCTATAAATACAAAATTTCAAACCTTGACATGTTGGTGGCACCATCTCAATTAGTTAAGGACCCAACTGAGTCACTGAAAATCTCTGAATGTCTTTCCTTGAAACTGATATTCCAAGAGGCTATTACAACAACAGATTTAGCCAATGCGTTATGTCTTCTAACAGAGAATCAGATTTACCTCCAGTGGCACAAGAACAGAGGTCCTTGGCCTGACTTGACATTTTTACCTCTGGTGATCTCCAGCTGATACCTTCTGTATGGTATTGCTTTGTCAACCTTCAGCTCCTTTGAAAGCCTCCTTACACTCCTTGGATGTTAGGTAGTCCCCTATCTCAAGACACAGCAGCTTTTCATGAGTCGTTTTGGCAACCTGCTTTCTCCCAGAAGTTTGTCAAATGGGTCATTAAAACCATATCCTTGGCCATTCAGGTGGAAAAGCTTCTGTTTTCTGATCATCTACAAAGTTACTGGTAATGTCTATAGTCTTTCTGAAAGGTAAACACTTACTCATGCTTTGTACAACAGCATTTGGTCATAGCTGTTTGGATGGGCTGATACTAAATTTAGCCAAATGATGTTCTCCTCCAAATGGTATGCCTTTCTCCCTGTCAGTTAAGTAATGATGAAGAAATGTAGGTTGCTTGCTTTGTAATTGTTATTCTTTGAGTAGCCATCCACACATTTGCAGAACTTACTCTTCCTCCAATGTTTGGCATATTTGTATTAAAATATGTGAGGCCACTGTCAATCAGTGAATTTATTGAATGGAGAGTGTGTATGAGGGAAAAGGCACAGGGCTTCCACCAAAACTCTCAACCATAGAAGGATCCAAACTGGTCTCTGTGCAAGTGCAAAACTCATATGTGTGAATGCACATATGACAACTCAAAAAGAAAACTATGTTTTGTTTTCCTGCCAAGCTGTTAAGTTTAAAACTCATCTATTTCAAAAATAGATCTTAGACATATTATCCATCAAAATATTTATTTCTAAATGCATATAAATTTTCTTTTTCAACTGAGAATAGCCATTCAACATTTAGAAAAGTATAACATCTAAGTGATCTCTGTACATTAGCCTTGAAGATGCTGATCAAGTTGATTCACATTGCAGCTCACCAGAATCACATTCCTGCTTCTGTATGCTCTTCATCATTTGGCACCTAGTTATCATTCTGTGTATTTTGTAAGATCCTCTTACCATATTATTGTTTGCCATCAACAACATAACTACCATCAAAACCATTTTTACATGAAAAGTTTTTTGACAAAGACAGAATAATAATGAACTAATGGCTTACATCATCATCATCATCATCATCATCATCATCAGTAGTAGCAGTAGTATTCATAGTAGTAGTAAGTTGTTGTTGGCATTGTCATTGTTGTTGTTGATATTAATACTGATATTAATACAGTGGTGCCTCACTTAACGATTTTAATTGGTTCCGGAAACAACATCGCTATGGAAAAACATCGCTAAGCGAAACGCGTTTTCCCATAGAGATGCATTGAAAACCGGATAATCTGTTTCAATGGGAACGGATTGCCGTCCTTAAGCGAAAATCGCCATAGGAAACATCGCTAAGCGAAACGCGGTTCTCCCATTGGAATGCATTGAAACCTTTTCAATGCATTTCAATGGGGGAGAAAAAAATCACCAAAAATTCAAAAAGAGTCAGAACGAAGCCAAATTTGGTTAACAACGGGTTTATTAAGTGCACTAACAATTTCAAGCACTCTAAACCCTTTTTAAAAAATTTAACACCTTTTAAAATAGCGAAAATGGAGCTGTCAAAAACATCTATTAAGTGCACTAATGATTTCAAGCACTTTAAACCCTTTTTAAACAATTTAACACCTTTTAAAAATAGCAAAAACGGAGCTGTCAAAAACATCGCTAAGCGAAACAGGGGGACCTAAACTGTCGTCGCTAAGTGAAGCAAGGTCCCGAACATCGCTATGCGAAATTCCCCCATTGGAAACATCACTAAATGGAGCACAAAATCACTCCTAAAACCTCATCGCTAAGTGAATACATCGTTAAACGAGGCAATTGCTAAGCGAGGCACCACTGTACTATAGCATTTAAATAATGTATAGATTGTCCAACAACTCTACAGAACTGGTTGACATTATTATACCCCGCTTGCAGCTGAAAAAAAAAATTGAAGATGAAAAACTGTGGCTTGCCTAAGGTGATGTGATTTTTGATGCCTCAGCTTCACAACTCACATTTTTACTCTTTATCATGTGCCTGCTATCACAATCATGTATGAAACCACATTAGCAATGTCCAGAGTTATGTCTGTCTGTATGAGAACATAACTGAAGAGAGCACATGTTAATGAAAAAGGGGTGCTGAACAATAGGAATGCTTAACAAACATTCTTCTAGGTAGTTGGTTGCCTGTCAGACACGTTTGGGAGTAGTAACTTTGATGTATCAGTCTGTGTCTTTACAGAAATGACATTATTCTGCTTGTACTAAATGTTTCAACTGCACTTCTAAGAACAGTGCTGTTTGTTGAGTATACAATTTCATGCATCATTGCATGTAATTGTGCACTTAAAGCTCAATATCAGGATATCTTGTATTGCAAAAATCACAAGTATATATTTTTTAATTTTTAGGAGAAATATTTAGATATTCTGAGCCAGCTTGCTAAAGTCAATGAAGATATTGCAAAATTTCGAAATGAAATTGCTAAACTGAATGCCTTAAGCAAAGGAAAGCAAAAGCAGGTGGATACCACAGAGAAATCTATAGCAGAGCTGAGGTAAGAGCCTCCCTTTCTATAAACAACAGGTGGTATCCAATTTGGTCTCTCTCTGCTGATGGAATGTTTCTGTCACTGGTACACAGGGAGGCGTAATTTCCAGCAAGTCTTCTTCTCCACTTCCATCCCCTTTGTCATGTTACATGCTGTTCCAAAAGGTCCCTCACCCTTTTGGAGCAGATTGTATGTGTTTCACGGGGATGGAAGAGCTGAAAATCACCCCTCCCCCTATTTTATTGATGGATGCCTTCTGGAAGGAAAGGGACAATCAGATGCCACCCAAAGAACACTTGGTGCATGTCTTCACAGTATTACCTGAAGAGAATATATCTCAATGTTTATTGATAAATAAGGAATGTTCTGGTTTGTTTTTGGAGAGTTTGAAGAAAATCTTCCTGATTAATTATCTGTCTTGCTAATGTTATTTTAGGCATATAATTGTTTACCCAAACCTAATAACATTCATAGTCAGTTGCATCTTTAATTAGTGGATGATTATTCATTTTGTTTGTTCCTTTGGAAAAAGACGTGATATTTAAAAAAATTTCATTGGACTGCTAAGTTTTGCAAAGAAAACACAAAGAGCTCTGTTCAACTTGAGATGCCAAGTAGGCATGGAAGTCTTAAATGACTGTACATTCTAAGAGTCTTGATTTTCAAGGATGACAGATAAGCAAGCAGTACAAGATTAAACAGAGGTGGGTGAGAATCTTTCTGCTAAAGAGCATAGGAGTACGTTTACAGGAAATGATGCTTGTGGAAAGATCTTTTTGTCCTCACCCACATTTATGTTAAGAGTCACTCCCCTGCCTGCTTTCTCATAAATTGCCCAGGTGGGGATTGGGTGGAAATAGACCATGAACGTGCAGTAAAGCAGTTAGTCAAAGAAGCCTAAGGGCCAAAGAAAATGTACGTTCCAGAGACACCTGAAAGGAAAACCTTCTACTGGTGTTTCTCAGCTAATGGCAGAGCACCCAAACAAAGATAAGAGAGCTAGAGTGCTATGTTCTAAGGGAGAACATACAGGGAATATGATGGAAACCCAACAGAATGGGGAGGATAAGTTGGATATGCCTATATGTTGTTCTGCTGTGCCAATGAATAGAGAAACCTCTCTTTCCAGGTAAGAACCTGGGAAGTATGAGTACAGCCTGCTTATGCTTTTGTGGTCTCTGTGCACACAGTGAACAAATAGATGTTTTTAGTGGTCTTTAATGGCCCATTACACTAGCATTCCTTGACTGCATCCTTATGTGCATATATCCAACCATGCCCAAACATTTACAAATAAATAGATATTACTATAGCATGGTAAATCTAAATACTCTAATGAGGAAATTCACTAGGTGAATATTCCCTTGAACCTTACCATTTGGGTAAATGTGGAAGAAATGTTTTAAAAGATAATGATTTAAAATGCATAGATAGAAAACTATGTTGCAATCCTAAGTAACCTTTGAGGGAGCAAGTCCCATTAAGTTTAATGAAAGTAACTTCTAAGTAAACATGCTTAGAATTCTTTCTTTTTTCTTATTTGACTGGCCCTCCTAATATTTGTACCAAAAAGCCATCAGGATGAAACTTTTTGAAATTTCAGACTGTGAAGTTATGTTTTACATTGATCAGTTTGATTTTACATAGAGGAAGGTGGCATATACTGTAAATATGAACACCATTTTGAAACGGGGCAGAAGAGAATCCACATGAGCCACTTGGAGGTAAAAATCCTGTAGCACTGCAAATGACTAACTTACAAAAAAATTCTGAAATGAGTTGTTGCAGTGAGTCTTCTTGATCAGACATATGGAACGGAATTCCATTTTCATGCCTCTGCCTGCATTGTCCACCTTACACATCTTATCCATCAGGCTCTTATGTACAATAGCTGATTCCCCAAAATATTTGTGGTTTGTTTTTTTTTTTTGAAGCTCCTATACAGCGTTTTTTTCATTTTGCTAAACAGTTTCTAATATGTTATAGGTCGCACACAAGATAGTTCCTTGAAAATTATCACTCAAAATTCCTTACAGTATGTATCAATACTAAGTTTGACATCCAACAAATACAATGTTCTTTAGGATATTTTGCGTTCCTTCCACCCCAAAGCAGGCATGCTTTGAATACTGAACATCTTGGGTTCAGTCTCAGTACCTCCAATTAAAAGATGTTAAATAGCAGGGCTGGGAAAAAAACCCTAAGATTTGAGAAACAACAGCCATAGTAAGCACTATTGGTCTACACAGAGGATCTGATTCACTTTAAAGCAGCTTCATGGCTTATGTTTCTGTGAGCAGTCTCGTTCTTCTGTATAAGATCTGTTAAACTTTTCCTCTTCAGCAACACCCCCTGCCAAATCCCAAACTCCTCTGAGATGAAAAAATGGTTTGTGGTTTGGCAGGGGGAATGCTGAAGAAGTGGCCTGATTAAATCCAATACATACACATTGTCCCTTTTACTCACATAAAAGAGCCACCAGATCATAGCCACTGTTTCTTCAGAAATAGTATGCGGAGTAATTCTGAATAGTATTTCAGACTAGTGATGATTTTCCCCCTCTCTCTTACAGGAAAAAGTATGCTAGAATAAAGTCAAAGGAGCAGAATGCTCAAACATTAGTTGATTTTCTCCATGAGCGGCTGGACTATGTTACAAAAAAAGTAAAGACAGATGGCAGAATATTTGAAGAGCTGCTGTGGGATAGACAGGAAACTCTGAAAATTAACAAGGTTTGTAATACACAAAGTGTTGTTGTTTTGCTCTGTTCTAAATTTTTCTTAAGAATTCCATGCATATGTACTTAAGTATCATTGACCTATGCTGAATATTGCAGTCAAAAGAGGGTTTCGGGATAATGGCTATCTCCAGAGCATAGACCATACATATCTTTTTAGTCAGTGTGAAGAGAAGGCATGCACTAAAATATCCTAAAAAAACTTGAGTCTTTCCATTGCAGATATAGCAAATGGGTTATTTCTCATATGTTGAGTTATTTCTCATATGTTGGATCCTGGTAACTGGCTCAAGCTCTGTTCTTAACACCCAACTAAGCATTGATGTTGATAATCTGAGTTCCACAGTTTTACATTTTGTACATTTCGTCATCTTACAGTGCAAGCAAGCCCTAAAATGTAAGCTCCATTGACTTCCACATAAGGTCATTCCAAATGAATGCGTATAGCACAAGTGAGCAACTTGAACAGGTCTGGGAGCCAGTTTTCTGCCCTAGGAGTCCTCTGGGGCCATATATGCTGCCAAAATGCCAACTTCTGAAACAAAGGGAACCGGAAAGCCACTTCTGGTTTTTAAATTTTGGAGCTAAACCATGCAGGGATGTGTCAGTGGTATATTTAAAACATGAGTCATGGTTCTTCCAAGGAGCAGCACTATGACATTTTAATGGGGAAAATCGTATTTGGTGGGAAGGTCTGGTGGGGCTGAAGGGGGCATAAAAATACCTTTGAGACTTCATGCAGCCCCAAGGCTGCACTTTCCCCATCCCTTATGTAAAGGATTACAACTTGAGAAAGCATTCCTCAAGAAAAATTTGGAGCATTCTGATTTCAGAACCTGTAATCTATCCAGACTTTTAGCTGGCAGGGTAGAAATAACAAGGAGCGCAGGTTCAGTTCTCCCCACAACCCCCCAACAAGGCATTTTTTCCTGTCATAATTTTTTGAGGCTTCTTGAACTGAACCTAATGGGCAGAGACTACCATATCCATAATCCCTTGCAAATCTCACAGAGTTTTGCCCTGCCCGCCCATTTCCCCTTGTCTTTTCCACAGAAGGAAAATGACTCACAGAACCAGAATGCATTAGCTTAAGAATTTGAAAATACCTGTTGGACTTTCATTTTTTAAAAATACTTTATTGCTTCATAGCCAATCACTTTGCAGGTAAAATTGCTCAGATCAACTTTAATGTGGATGCTATAGTTGATACGGGTCCTGTGAATGGAACTATGACCCCCCCTTGCCCTGTGCTGATGGAAGAGTTTGTTTTTGCAGCCTGATAACATGGGCAGGACACTTAGAGAGGAGAAAGCTACCATATGTCTGCTGGACCCTTGCCCTTCTTGGCTTATAAAATGTTCCAGAAAAGGATTGATCAGGTGGGTAGGGGGAGTGGTAAATGTCTCCTTGCAACAGAGTAGGACCCCAGTATGTTTAAAGGAGACAATAAGACCATTGTTGAAAAAGCCCTCCTTGGTTCCCACAATACTGAACAATTGCTGACCAGTTTATAATATTCCATTCTTAGGCCAAGTGCTAGAGTAAATCATGGCTTCTAAGTTCCAGGGGTTCCTGAATGAGACAGATTATCTAGATTCATTTCAACTTGGCTTTAAGCCTAGTAATGGGATAGAGAATGTTCTGGTCACCTTCATGGATGACCTATGCTAAGAACTGGACAAGGGGAATGTGTGTTCCTGTTGGTTCTGCTGGACCTCTTCGTGGCTTTCAGTACTATCGACCATGGTATCCTTCTGGCCCACCTCTCTGGGATGGGACTTGGAGGCATTGTTTCATGGTGGCCCTTGTCCTTCCTGGAGGAAAGAACTCAGAAGGAAGTGTTGGAGGATGCCTGTTCAACACCCTGGCTGTTGGTCTGTGGAGTCCCTCAAGGTTCTGTTCTGTCTCCTATGTTATTTAACATCTACATGAAACCACTGGGAGAGGTTGTCTGGAGTTTTGGAGTTTGGTGTCACCAGTATGTCAATGACACCCAACTCTAACTTTCCTTGCCACCTAAATCTGAGGAAACTGTTTCGGCTCTAAACCAGTGTTTGGTATAAGTAGTGGACTGGGTGCATAAACTACAATTCAAAATCAATATTAGAGCCTAGAGTGCTGAATTCCTTCCAAACAAAGCAAGGGGCTGGGACTAACTATTCTCTTTCAAAGTAAACAAATTTGATCATTTCACTGTATTTGATCTATTTTAAATCTATTGGCACAGAAAGTAGGCAGTGTCTGCACAGGAGTGAAAGAGTATTACTTTTTTTAAAAAAACTCAAAAATTGTTTACCCAAACATCCCCAAATGTGGCACAGAGCAAGAGCAGACTGTCCAAATTTGGTGCTGATCTGAGGTCCAGTTTCAGTTATCAGTTTTTGTGGGGCTTATGTCATGAGCTTCCAAAATGTGTGCCATAGTGCACTGCAGCCTCTGCAGTGCCCCACGGCACCCAATGGTGTACCAAACCCAATTAGTGGCACAGTGGAATCTTTTCTCTGTTTCTTCACCAAGGCAGCACTGCTGCTGCTCTTCTGGCTCCAGTTCCAACTCTTTTGTATATCTTTGCCTTCTGATCTGCCCTGTACCCCTTGCCGCTCCTCTAGCTCTGCCACCACTGCCATTGCTGAAGGGAGCCACGAGTTGGAAAAGGTTGGGGATCACTGGCTTATGGAAAGCTGAATTCTGCTGTTGCCTCTATCGGTGCACTCCCATACACCAATAATAAAAATAACAATTTTCAAAGTGCTGATAACATGTGTCATTAGAGCAACACATATATCATTCTCTGTAAATCACTCTGTTTATTTGAAAACTAACAGTTCAATTAACTTATTATAATTCAATGAATTAAACAATTTCACCACTCTTGAGAACAACAAAATTCATCTGCTAATTTCTAACTTTAAATGTTCACAAATAAAATTTCAAATCTAGTGTTCTATCCTCTGAAAAGTATGAGCCCAATTGCCTTACATAATTCATTTTAACTTTGGAAACTAGGAGTTCTGGTATTCTTGTGGTCACTTTTTCATTCTTGGTGGGTTGGCCAGGGAAGGTGACTGATAAGTTCCTCTGAGTAATATATAGCGTGCTATGATGCAGAAAATAAGCACTTCATCAGACCTACACATCTAATAGGATGTTAGGGTTGTCTCTTGGCCTTTCACATCTTGTTTTAGCTTTATTGGCGCTTGCTTTATTCTTTTCTATTTTTCATTTACATATGAATTAATGACTGCACTTTTACAGTTTTTTCTGCTTGGAACATATACTACAGATCTGAAAACAGATTTACATTTAGCACATCTGTAATTTGGACTCACGATATATTCATAAATTTCATTTATGAAATGTACAGGACCAGTGATGTCCATAACAAACATTTGGCTCAGAACTCAGGTTTGGTGAATGAAATAATAATTTGAAGGTGGTATAGGTTTTGCTAAATAGTAGCTTAACCTCTGAACCAGCTTTAAATAAATAAAACAGAAAAGGGCAATTCCTGTTTTAGTTGAATGTTTTAGGATATAGTGTTCATTTCTGAAGCCAGTTCTGAATTATTTGATAATGTTTGTTATCATTAAATAAATATTAGCATTGTGAGTTGCAGAATATGTGTGTGTGTGTGATCTGTGACTGTATGATACTAATGTTGTTGCTGTATCTTTCAAAGTTTGATGGACTAAGTGCAAACATGGTTGATTTTTGCTGGCTAAAAGTTGGATATGTTTATTTCCTGAGCTAGGTTTCCCCTTTTGTTATTACAATTAGTAATAAAATCAGAAAAATATACCTGTATGTCATGAGAATGGCTGATGGCCGGGTTCCAAAAGATCTCCTGTATGGAGAATTAGTGCAGGGAAATTGCCCCGGGGGAGACCACAGCTGCGATACAAGGATATCTGCAAGCGGGATCTGAAGGCCTTAGGAATGGACCTCAACAGATGGGAAACCCTGACATCTGAGCGTTCAGCCTGAAGGCAGGGGGTGCATCATGGCCTCTCCCAATTTGAAGAGACCCTTGTCCAGCAGGCTGAGGTAAAGAGGCAGTCCAGAAACCAGCGAAATCAGGGAGCTGGACAAGGGACAGATTGTATTTGTCTCCAGTGTGGAAGGGATTGTCACTCTTGAATTGGCCTTCTCAGCCACCCTAGACACTGTGCCAAGTCCTCAATACAGAGCACATTACCATAGTCTCTTGAGACTGAAGGATGCCTAATCTAAATACCTGAATTCCTAATGATATTTGAAATATCATAAATGGTGCACTTAAAATATATGGTAAGACAAATTAATGTACAGAGGCTCATTTAAAGTTTACAAGAATGTCTGCCTCTGTCACTGTGATGCAATGGGGAGCTGTGGAGACAGGTATTCTTTGTTCCTCTCCCCAGAAGGAGGTGAAGAAGGATGCTGGTGATAGGGGAATGTTGCTGTATAATGCAAATGTCTGGAAGGGGACTGGAAGGTTTATAGGTCCTCCCTACCCAGATGGATGCCTTTTTCCTGATTGTAGTCCTGGCCGCCTGCCCTCTGGGACAAGTGGAAGATTGTCTGGTTGCTTTGGGGCTGAATAAAATTTTTTGATCTTGGTATTGAACAAAAGATGGACAGAGTTTGTTTGCTTATCCTGCACTACTTACTCACCCTTCTGTTTCATGTTGAATACTGAAGCACAATTGTCTGAAAAAGAGGAAGTTGCTCTATCTGCATAACCCCTCTATATGAGCCAGAACCTCAGTATGGGACAGAGTAGCCCATGTAGAAGGGATATCTTAGTATAGCAGCTTCCCCCTCTTCAGGTAGTCATGATTCCATGCTCAGTTTGATAATGATGTGGAGCTAATAAGCTCCTCTCAAAGCTTGTGGGCTCCAAAAAAATTCCTTAACGATGAAGTAGGGCTTATTTTTCTCTCAATGTTCTCTCTCTCTCTCTCTCTCCCTTCCTTATGCAACAGATACACACACTTCAGAGTGTACAGACATATT